ATGAGGCTGTATTTCCGCTTGCATTATTTTGGTCTCAGGGTAATTACTGTAAAGATATAAAGATATGTACATGTGTATATCCACATGATTATCTCATATAATAAAATAACAAAGCCTCTTCGCGTCTATTACCGTATAAGCAATAGAATACCATAGTTCATCCAGTGAATAACGCATGCGTTACTCATAGCAGGCTCGTACTTACGAGCGTAGGCCGCCTTCAACTTAAATGGGCTTTAGACAAACGCATTACGTATGAATGAGCACCAAGTGCGTTTATACATACTTAATTATTCTATATCTTTATGTTGTTTATGCACCGTGGTATATGCAATATGGGAACGAAAAAGCTCTAAGATTAGTCTAGTAGTTGTCATAGAACATCTTAACTCCATACGTTTTATCTAGTACGGTGATAACCGTAGATACCTATGCAGAACTTTATATGCATGCACTAAGGCTGGCAGTATTCCATGCTTGCAAAAGTGGTGTCTGGTATGTGATTTATGTTTTAATCAAAATGGATTTAGTTGAAATTCACAGTTTTTGGCATTATCAACTAAACACAAAGGAAAACCACTAGAAAACTACAACGCTGAAGTTAGTCAAAACGCGGGTATTGAGCAACTCAGCAATTTATAGTCAACGTACACCTAACAGAAGTACACGTCGCCACGCGTTCCAATTATTTCGATTGTTTGGAAGCTACTGGCATTATAATGAATATAACAATGCAATTAATGCATGGAAAATTGAAGCAGTATAAAAGTTTGCACCACCTAATGCATCAACTGAATAATCCAAAATGTTAATAGCTACTAAAATTATCACAGGCTTATCCTATATTCGAAAGGAGCATAAACACATGCGGAAACTTGCACCTTATCCTTTACGTCGGAGTCATTCAGGAACGAGTTAATCAGCTAAAGTTTCACAAGAAAAGTTGACCTCCACGGGTTCAGCCTCCACTGTTTGCTACTGGATTTTTTTCATACTTTGGCAAGCGGATTTAACGTTGCAGTAAAATGTTTTATCAAATTTTAAATATTTAATCAAAATAGAATTTTTATTTTCGATTCGAATGCTCATTTTATCCCTAGAAGTTCAAATGGGCAAAAAATCAGCAAAATCGAAATCAGGATCCCGTGTTGGAGACGCCGCGACTACGAAAGAACTGCTCTCCCATTTTACACAGGTACTGAGGATTTACAGATACAAAAACATATTTTATCGGCTTCAAGCTTCTGTCATAGAAACGCAAATGTAAATATTTTCTTTATTAATTATACAGCTGCTAGCTTACTGTAATACACTTTATTTTATAGCTTTCAGTGCTTGGCCTCCAAAACCAGCTCTTTTTGATATAAATATAAATGGTTTTATTTTAATCTAGAAAAGACAGTAGAATCTGACGTAAAGGTGACTCTAACCGTTAGAAATGACAGTTTCATTGAATCTCAACGTGTTTTGGAAGAGTTTGGGAACCGTTAGGTAAAACATGGCTACATCAGTCATGTTGCACAAGATCCTGTTTGGTAGCCTAATAATATACACGACTGCATTATTTCCAGAACTACACGGAAATTGCTCAAGGCAACATCCTACTAACTTTGGAATTATTTTCTTTTGGTGCACATTTGCAGTGCCGTGTCCTTTTAATTATCTCATCGATCGCAAAGATATATGTTTGTCTTTGGACAAATGTAGATTCCGTCCCTCGATGAACCAATTATAAATCAAGATCTCATCGAAGCAGCATTACTCGATCCGGCATGCTCAGCGGTGAGCAGAGTTCTCGTTATCTATACTGGTGGTACAATCGGCATGAGATCGCACGGTGGTGTGTACGAACCGGAACCAAATTTTCTCGTCGAGACGGTCATGGATATGACAATTTTCCAGGACAAAACGTAAGTTTTGTATGCTTATTTTACACCTTCATTAATCATAATTCAGTGAGTCTGATGGCGGAATCAAAGTTGTGATCACATAAAAAGAAAGAAAGAGCTTGTTATGATCAAACGCAAATTTCTTTGTGGAATGGCTGTTTTGCGTACTACATATGAGATTATGTTTATCGATTTAGAGTTAATTTGCTTCTTCTTCTTCTTCTTCTTCTTCTTCTTCTTCTTCAAACAAATAGGATCTAGAGCCAAGTAGTTTTTTCTTTACTGAAACCGTTTTCTTAGGATACCCTTTCTTTAATAGGTACAAGAAATATTTTTTTCATGCATGTTTTCCATAAAATATATTTCTATTTATAAAGCCAGTAAAAATCAATGATAAGTAAGCATACTATGTAAGTAGTTACTTTTTACAGTACATACTTTTTGTAAGTGGGCAGAACAAGGCTCGTTAAAAAGCCCATGACTAAAATAACTTCAGAATAGACTACACGATAATCAGTATCACAACCCGAATCAATGCCGAGTAGCGAAAGAATATCAATCTTTCGCCTATGCCAGCATGTTCCACGAAATCTGGCACGTACTGTAAATGTTCTATTAAGCCATTAGGATTTGGCGCCTAGTTGTGTGCTCATTTGGCTATATTTTGATGCCCCCTTAATGATAAGTCGTTTGTACCGTCGATTTGAAAAACTAAAGCCTGTTGCATGTTTCCGCCTATTACGCAGGTTTGCGGAGCGCAATGCCATCCACCTAAAATACTATAAATCCGGACGACTGGGTACAGAAAACTCTGCCGCCGAAACTGCGGACGCAAAGCCCAACGGTTGGTCCACCATCTGCATGCCTCTGACCATTGACAACCGGCGTATCTTTTACACCATTGCGGAGTACGCAAACCTGCTGGACTCCTCCAACTGTACAATGGATAATTGGGTTCAGGTGGCTCAGCACATCAACCTCTTCTACGACGAATTCGATGCCTTCATTGTGCTCCACGGCACCGACACCCTCGCCTACGCTGCCTCCTGTCTCTCCTTCATTCTAGAGGGTCTGCGGAAACCGGTGATTGTTACGGGTTCCCAGATCCCGATCGGTGAGCTGCGGAGTGATGGCAGAGAGAATTTGATGGGTTCTCTGCTGGTCGCCGGCGGTGGTTACCTAATTCCCGAAGTTACTGTCTACTTTTGTAACAAGGTCAGTGCTGACAAGGCATCTTTACAACCCATCTCTAACTTTTGCTTGTGTCTGGGGTGCTTTTTTGCTAGGTGGTGGGCAAAAAACCAAGATAATAATGATAAAAAATTCCAGAAAATCTTGATTCTTCTTCTTCTGCTCTAGGCCATTCACAACTAAAAAACTACATTCATCTTTGAAGATTGCATAGACAACAGAATTTAATGGATCTATGAATTTTGAGAGTGCTCATCAGCTGCTTCCTCTCGTTGCATAACGTGCATAACTTATGAAAAAATACAAAATTGAATTCGTACAGAAAGGTTAGTAAGGTCATAGGACTTAGCCACGAAGGCTTATGAGTAAAGTAGGCAATTTAAAACGATGTGGAAGGAAAAAAGTGAGGAAAAAGCTTTAAAGCGAAAAGGTGAATAGGGACTGTGTAAATCAGGGAGCCGAATGTTATCAAGGCAAAGTTAGGTTAACCGCAGGCTCCAACTCTTTACATATTTAGGATCGAGAGGTAGTAGCTGATGAGCACCCTTGAAAATCATGAATTCAGTAATTTCTGTTGTTTATGCAATCTTCAAATTTTCACCTGGGAAAATATGCTTTAAACATACATCCCTATCCATTTTGAGACCATTAGAAAGAATTATACCATGTACAGGAGCGTATTACCAGCCCTAATTCAAACGGGAGCATTTAAGAACTGCATTTTTTTAAATCTAAAAAGCTTTCAACGATATGCGAAAAATATTTCGTCGTTTGCAGCCTCCGTGTCGATTTAAGAGGCGCCATTAGTTTATCGCTTTCTAAGCGTGGTGGCTCCTGTTAATAGCAATCAAGTACAAGGGAACGTTAGGAGAGGGAAAGGTTATCGTGAATAATTATTATCAGCGGAGCTAAGGAGTCAAAAATAACGAATAGATGTGATAAGAATTTTATAACAAGGTGCGCAAGAGTGTGTGCCTTACCGTTTGCTGAACTTTATATCTTCTTCCGATTTCACCCTAAAAAGCGACGCTTGGAGGAAGCACACTCGAATATTTCCTTTTCGACCTAACGTTCTTAAAGTTTCACTGATTGCGTTTGAAAACCAATTTCTCCGAACTTGTTGAATAATTATATCATCAGTGCTTACCAATATCTCAGCAGAAAATGTTCAAAAATTAAGTAGAAGTATAAAAATAATGAACTGTGGAATAACTGTGGTTATTTTTACTCAGATATCGCATTCCTTCCCTTACCGGGATGTTCACATCTAAGTTCGAGGTCACACAAGTTTTCTCACAATCCGTTGAATTCATGTTTTTGTTTGTTATTCGGTAAACTGAACGAGTCACTGTATTAAGAGAAATCAATGGAACTGCAGTTCATTGCAGTTAAACACTAAAAAACCGTTCGCTGATGAACGTTCACTGACCGTTAACATAACGCACCTGTCTCGCTCTGCTTTGGACCTAGACGGAGGCCCTGACAGCCGTAACAGCTTGCAGTATAGGCAAATAGTAGGGCCAGTCTGCTTTGTCTTTGCTAGCAATACTCTTTGCTTACATAGCGCCAGCTAGTACGGCTGCCAGAGCCTCTGTCGAGGTCCAAGGCAAAGCGGGACAGATGAGTTTCGTTTGCGGTCGGGTAAGCGTTTATCAAAGATTTGGTTAATGACTTGGGAAAATTCCCATCAGAGAATTCAGAAGTCCAGTTTGGCGAGTATACGTGTATTTTTGACAAATTCTCGTCAGGCCTTACATTTATATGGAAACTGTGTGCGTGTTTAAACGTAAAGTCAGGAGCATAAACAGATCTATTCTGGCGCACATGGTCGATTCCGGACATCGGGTGGACCCTAACGAAGCTTTCCG